CCTAACCTAACCTAACCTATCCTAACCTATCCTAACCTAACCTAACCTAACCTAACCTAACCTTACTTAACCAAACCTAACCAAACCTAACCGAAGCTTGGATCGTCGACTTGATTTGGCGTCACCAGCTTTTTATTTTCGTCTAATTTCTTTATAAAAAGATACTTTTTTCAGATTAAAATTATGTTTTTTCGTGTTGTACATTCAGCACCAACATTATAATGAGTAAATATATCATATTTATTCATTACTAACGTATTGCCAGGAAGCTTTCTGAAGTTTGTGGTAGCTTGTGGTAATTAGACGGACCGGCGTGAACAACCACCCAACCTCGCATCAGAATCGTCGACGTTTCGATCCGTCCTGAAACATTATCAAGCCGTAAAATATTATCGTCTTCGTCTATCATAAGAATGTGGTATATCTGAGAAAATACTCGAGGCTATACGATGGGATCGAACTCGGGTCCCTCTACTGGTGACACACACACACTACCGACTGAGCCATATTGAGCTCGTGATGGTGCAGTGTGTGTGTGTGTGTGTGTGTGTGTGTGTGTGTGTGTGTGTGTGTGTGTGTGTGTGTGACCTGACCTGGCCTGGCCTGACCTGGTCAGGGGATAAAGGTGAGATCACAAACATAGCCTCAAGATTTTAATAATTGCCCAATTATCAATGTCTTAGATGTAGAAACGACATACTTCGTAAATATTTCTTTCACCGAGAGATTCTACATGTGTGGACTACGACGAGGTTTACCTCGTCGTCCACACGACTCTGAGAACTGCCAATGTAAACTGTGTCAGCAAACTAGAATTTAAACATAAAAAGTTTTCAAAAAAATATGTGCATTTCACTCAAAATATTGTAATGCCAGCAATCATAGCCAAGTATCCCAAGTTAACCTACTGTGGGTATAGTGCAGACACACAGTTGTGTACACTATACCCATAGTAAGTAAACCAACCCCCCCTCCCCCCCTTCAGTGGGGCGTGGAGGATGTACGAGAAGCAACAGTAATAACTCATATACAACCAGTTGAATATAAATTGGTTAGCTTACAGCCCACTAAGTAAGTATGTAAGTCCCACTACAGGGTCACCATAGCCCGTGCTACTTGGCACTTGTTCTGAGTAGCTGAATCTATAACAGCAACAGCCCACTGAGGTCCAGTTTGTGAACCAGCCTATTCCTCTGGCACCTTCAAGGCACTCCCATAGGATGGGTATGGCACCCCATAGTAAATTAAAAGAGAGAGAGAGAGAGAGAGAGAGAGAGAGAGAGAGAGAGAGAGAGAGAGAGAGAGAGGAAGGGGGAGTTAGGGGGGATAAAGAGGAAAGGAATGAAGGAAAAAAAAGGGGGAGTGTGTGGGAGTGGAGAGAGGGGGGGGGGGAGGGAAAGGTGGGATGAGTCACACTGAGCCTCTGGTTCCTCTCCCCCCCCCCCCTCAAGGGGCACCAGGTGAGAGGGGGTAGGTGTGTGGGCACTGTGCCATGCCCAGGCCTCTACCTGTGCCCTAGTGACTCATTTGCTCTTTACGTCACACAGCTGGGCTGGGGCAGAGGTGGTGAAGCTCTCTTTGAGCCCAGATGGTCCTGTTGAGGCCCTCTTCTAGTTGCGTGCGTGCGTGCGTGTGTGTGTGTGTACTCACCTATATGTACTCACCTATATGTGCTTGCAGGATCGAGCATTGACTCTTGGATCCCGCCTTTCAAGCTATCGGTTGTTTACAGCAATGACTCCTGTCCCATTTCCCTATCATACCTAGTTTTAAAAGTATGAATAGTATTTGCTTCCACAACCTGTTCCCCAAGTGCATTCCATTTTTCTACTACTCTCACGCTAAAAGAAAACTTCCTAACATCTGTGACTCATCTGAGTTTCCAGTTTCCACCCATGTCCCCTCGTTCTGTTATTATTACGTGTGAACATTTCATCTATTTCCACTTTGTCAATTCCCCTGAGTATTTTATATGTCCCTATCATATCTCCTCTCTCCCTTCTTTTCTCTAGTGTCGTAAGGTTCAGTTCCTTCAGCCGCTCTTCATATCCCATCCCTCGTAGCTCTGGGACAAGCCTCGTCGCAAACCTCTGAACCTTCTCCAGTTTCTTTATGTGTTTCTTCAGGTGGGGGCTCCATGATGTGTGTGTGTGTGTGTGTGTACTCACCTATTTGTGCTTGCAGGGGTTGAGCTTTGGCTCTTTGGTCCCGCCTCTCAACTGTTAATCAACTGGTGTACAGATTCCTAAGCCTACTGGGCTCTATCATATCTACATTTAAAACTGTGTATGGATTCAGCCTCCACCACATCACTGCCTAGTGCATTCCATCCGTGCATTCCATTCCATACTCTGACACTGAAAAAGTTCCTTCTAACGTCTCTGTGGCTCATGTGGGTACTCAGTTTCCACCTGTGTCCCCTTGTTCGCGTCCCACCAGTGTTGAATAGTTTATCCTTGTTTACCCGGTCGATTCCTCTGAGGATTTTGTAGGTTGTGATCATGTCTCCCCTTACTCTTCTGTCTTCCAGTGTCGTAAGGTGCATTTCCCGCAGCCTTTCCTCGTAACTCATGCCTCTTAGTTCTGGGACTAGTCTAGTGGCATACCTTTGGACTTTTCCAGCTTCGTCTTGTGCTTGACAAGGTACGGGCTCCATGCTGGGGCCGCATACTCCAGGATTGGTCTTGCATATGTGGTGTACAAGATTCTGAATGATTCCTTACACAGGTTCCTGAACGCTGTTCTGATGTTAGCCAGCCTCGCATATGCCGCAGACGTTATTCTTTTTATGTGGGCTTCAGGAGACAGGTTTGGTGTGATATCAACTCCTAGATCTTTCTCTCTGTTCGTTTCATTAAGTACTTCATCTCCTATTCTGTATCCTGTGTTTGGCCTCCTATTTCCACCACCTAGTTTCATTACTTTGCATTTACTCGGGTTGAACTTCAACAGCCATTTGCTAGACCATTCACTCAGTCTGTCTAGGTCATCTTGTAGCCTCCTACTATCGTCCTCAGTTTCAATCCTCCTCATAATTTTTGCATCATCGGCAAACATTGAGAGGAACGAATCTATACCCTCTGGAAGATCATTTACATATATCAGAAACAGTATAGGTCCAAGGACTGACCCCTGCGGGACTCCACTCGTAACGTCTCGCCAATCTGAGACCTCCCCCCTCACACTGACTCGTTGTCTCCTGTTACTTAGGTACTCCTGTATCCAACGGAGTACCTTCCCTTTCACTCCAGCCTGCATCTCCAGTTTTTTCACTAGCTTCTTGTGTGGCACTGTATCAAAGGCTTTCTGACAATCCAAAAATATGCAGTCTGCCCACCCTTCTCTTTCTTGCCTTATTTTTGTTGCCTGGTCGTAGAATTCAAGTAACCCTGTGAGGCAGGACCTGCCATCCCTGAATCCCTGAATGTGTGTGTGTGTGTGTGTGTGTGTGTGTGTGTGTGTGTGTGTGTGTGTGTGTGTGTGTGTGTGTCTGTGTGTGTGTGTGTGTGTGTGTGTGTGTGTGTGTGTGTGTGTGTGTGTGTGTCTGTGTGTGTGTCTGTGTGTGTGTCTGTGTGTGTGTCTGTGTGTGGTGTGTGTGTGTGTGTGTGTGTGTGTGTGTGTGTGTGTGTTGTGTGTGTGTGTGTGTGTGTGTGTGTCTGTGTGTGTGTGTGTGTGTGCGCGCGCGCGCGCACGTAGTCACCCAGGTGAGTTTGAAGGGTAGAGGAACCTTCACCTCCTGGGGGGCACAGGATCAAGGCTCCTATCACACACACACACACACATTTATATTATATATATATATATATATATATATATATATATATATATATATATATATATATATATATATATATAGGAGGGGTCTGGGCTCCTCCTGCCTTGTTGTTCTCTCGCTCTGTTGCTGCTGGTGTGGAGCATCGCATTTTCTCCAGCCCGTCCTCATCAACATGGGTCAAATGCTCGCTAATCCAACCACCAAATCCTCAGTTTATGATTGAAAAACACTACACACAACTGATGGCGAATTTTATTTTTTTCCCTTCGAGCAATGCTTCGTTCACGACCTCTGTTCGAATCCCCACCTGTTTAAATGCTTCGCCCACGTACACCAATGCCAATAACAGCCAACAGAACCTAACCACCTAACGTACCTCAAGTTATTAGGTCTTACTATTCAACACATTCCGGTACGTAATAATATTACCTTATGTTTAAGGAGACGCACAAGTTGAATACGCAGCGCGTAAACTTTAGCGATTGCGTCTTATGGGGTCGGCCGCCGGCTGGATGGACCTTCCCCCCCCCATCCTTCCCCTGGGGACAGGATTGACATTTTCATTAATGTCAATCCTCTTGAGCCTTGTCTCAGGTATACAATTCCCCCTTGTCGAGGACAGAAATCTTGTACTTAGGCTTATATCGAGGTCCCCCCCCCCTTCCACCACCCTCAAAACCCCCCTTCCACCCCCCAAAACCCCCCTTCCATCGAACAAATCCACAAGGGCCGTGACGAGGATTCGAACCTGCGTCCAAGAGCATCCCAGACGCTGCCTTCCCCCTTCCACCACCCCCCAAAACCCCCCCTATCCAATAGATCGAACCACAGACCTTTCCCACTGTTGCACCACACAACAGTGTGCTATATCATAGTATACCCAGTCTATTTCCCAAGGTTGGGAGGGGGTGGGTTAGTGGGTATTCCATGCCAGTGCTGCGTACTCGGAGCACTTGTGATGATGCTCATCCGGGTTTTTGTGAACGCCTCTGACGACGTTATCCAGTCGAAGCGTTTTCCCTGCCTGAAATCCGGATTGATATCCACTGTCAAGTGCCAGTTTTATAATCCGTGTTGGACTTGTTTAACAAAGTGCAGGACGTGTCCAAACCTCGTCGTCGTCGTCACTTGCCTGACTTATACCCTGTGAGTACATATTCATTTGCTCCAGGCATGCTACTGTTACTTTATTTGTTCCTGCCGTGTTACTGGGATTCTGTTCCTTATGAATCCCTCTCATGGTGCACAGGCTTTCTGCTTCACCTTATTTGTTTTCCACACATTTTATTACTTTACTTTTGTTCGCGGTGAAGTGGACACGTTTGGGATCATTATTGCATCTCTTCGAGGACCTTTTGAAGCTTCCCAACAGTCCTCTCTAGTTATCGTACCACCGGTACGTAAGGCACCACTGGTACGTAGGGCACCACCGGTACGTAAGACACCACCGGTACGTAAGACACCACCGGTACGTAAGGCACCACCGGTACGTAAGGCACCACCGGTACGTAAGGCACCACTGGTACGTAGGGCACCACCGGTACGTAAGACACCACCGGTACGTAAGACACCACCGGTACGTAAGGCACCACCGGTACGTAAGACACCACCGGTACGTAAGACACCACCGGTACGTAAGGCACCACCGGTACGTAAGGCACCACCGGTACGTAAGACACCACCGGTACGTAAGGCACCACCGGTACGTAAGGCACCACCGGTACGTAAGGCACCACCGGTACGTAAGACACCACCGGTACGTAAGACACCACCGGTACGTAAGACACCACCGGTACGTAAGACACCACCGGTACGCAAGGCACCACCGGTACGCAAGGCACCACCGGTACGCAAGACACCACCGGTACGCAAGACACCACCGGTACGTAAGACACCACCGGTACGTAAGACACCACCGGTACGTAAGGCACCACCGGTACGTAAGGCACCACCGGTACGTAAGGCACCACCGGTACGTAAGACACCACCGGTACGTAAGGCACCACCGGTACGTAAGGCACCACCGGTACGTAAGGCACCACCGGTACGCAAGACACCACCGGTACGTAAGACACCACCGGTACGTAAGGCACCACCGGTACGTAAGGCACCACCGGTACGTAAGGCACCACCGGTACGTAAGACACCACCGGTACGTAAGGCACCACCGGTACGTAAGGCACCACCGGTACGTAAGGCACCACCGGTACGTAAGGCACCACCGGTACGTAAGGCACCACCGGTACGTAAGACACCACCGGTACGTAGGGCACCACCGGTACGTAAGACACCACCTGGTACGTAGGACACCACCGGTACGCAAGACACCACCGGTACATAGTGACAGTACACCATCAAGCTGGAACTCTCAAATCGGGCCCAAAGAGCCATATGCTTTTTCCCTCCAGAATATCACTGATGTGTTTATCATGTAGAATAACAGACACACTCACACAAAAACGAGAAAAAAACGGACCTGAACGACCGCTTACGCACTCAAGCACACGCACCGGAGCGTCGTTCACGTAATCAAGCACAGCTATGCGTGCCCACGCACACGCAAGCAAGCGAGCAATCACGCGCTCTTGAGCGCCCGCGAACGCAGGCACACGCATGATAGCGCCCGGCCCGCTATCCTCGGAGTAGGAGGAGGAGGCCAAAGTTTATCACTTGGCTCCGTCTAATTTATGTGACGCGAGAATCCCACAGTTTTGCCTAACGACCCGTTCGGATAACTGAGCGGCCCCGGTCGCTCGCTCCCAACACGCACAAGGAGCAAGAGAGAGATTCCGGTTAACCGGGAGATGCAAACTCATTCTCGTTTATCCGGCATCACTTTATGTCTACATGACAGACGATAGACTAGCTTAAAAAAACGCATATATATATATATATATATATATATATATATATATATATATATATATATATATATATATATATATATATATATATATATATTAATATTATTATATATACCTGAGAATTTCTAAAATAAAACTCCATACTCGCCTATTAGCAACAAATTCTCTTAATTAACCACTCCGTAAAAAATACAATGTATTCACCGATTTACCCAATGACGCACTTCACAATAACACCCGGCTATCTATTTTACCGCTAGGTGAACAGAAGCTCCAGGTGAAAGGTGCCAACTCCGAACCTTTTTCCAGGAAGCAACCGTTGCCAAATTCCAGGGTTCGTGACTAGGTGCATGAGATGAAAGGAAAGCGTGCCCGAACGCTCCTTTCCTGCCTGTTGGGGGATTGAGCTTAGGTCTCCCCCCTCCAACCCTCTGGTTGTAAGGCAAGGACGTAGACCACTGTGTTAGAGGGTTAGAGGGCTGTTAGAGGGCTGTGTTAGAGGGTTAGAGGGCTGTTAGAGGGCTGTGTTAGAGGGTTAGAGGGCTGTTAGAGGGCTGTGTTATAGGGTTAGAGGGCTGTTAGAGGGCTGTGTTATAGGGTTAGAGGGCTGTTAGAGGGCTGTGTTATAGGGTTAGAGGGCTGTTAGAGGGCTGTGTTATAGGGTTAGAGGGCTGTGTTATAGGGTTAGAGGGCTGTTAGAGGGCTGTGTTATAGGGTTAGAGGGCTGTTAGAGGGCTGTTAGAGGGCTGTGTTATAGGGTTAGAGGGCTGTTAGAGGGCTGTTAGAGGGTTGTGTTAGAGGGTTAGAGGGCTGTTAGAGGGTTGTTAGAGGGCTGTTAGAGGGCTGTTAGAGGGCTGTTAGAGGGTTTCCGAACTAAGGGACGACAATTACGGGAGGTAATTTGAGCTTCATGCTGTAAGTATTGACAAATTAGATGGTTTCCACGCCAAGCTGACGGGAGAGTGGACCCGTCCATCCGTGCAGTGAAGCCTGTCTATCTGACGATGACCAAATAGGTTGACATGACTGCTGCCTCATGACTTCTCATGACATGAAGCTGCTGGGGACACACACACTGACATGACAAGTTTATGGGAACATATAATTGGATGAACATTTTCTCCTCTCTTGATGACTACACAAGAAGTGACGTTGGGAGACGCGCCACAATGACCACGTCAATGGTGATGATGTGACAAAGCTTCCAAACACTGGTGCAAACTTAAAGCAAAGGTGCGGCGACGAAACTAGACGCGTCCGAGAGATACGTTGATGAGATACTTGGAGATGAGCGAGAGAGCAAGAGAGCTAGAGAGAGAGAGAGAGAGCGAGATCTCTCTCGCTCTCTCTCGAGCGCGAGAGAGAGAGCGCGAGAGAGCAAGAGAGCGAGAGAGAGAGCAAGAGAGCGAGAGAGAGAGCAAGAGAGCGAGAGAGAGAGCAAGAGAGCGAGAGAGAGAGCAAGAGAGCGAGAGAGAGAGCAAGAGAGCGAGAGAGCAAGAGAGCGAGAGAGAGAGCAAGAGAGCGAGAGAGAGAGAGCGAGAGAGAGAGAGAGCGAGAGAGAGAGAGAGAGAGAGAGAGAGCGAGAGAGAGAGAGAGCGAGAGAGAGAGAGAGAGAGAGAGAGCGTGCGCCAGCCAGCCATCCGAGCCCCCAGAGAGCGGCAGCATGGAGGCCCAGGTCGGTGAAGGTAATGATCAGTAAAGTCAGGCATGTTACACCGCCGTAAATCACCTCACACAACCTCCCTCGCGCCGGTCATGCTCTATTCAGCTTCGATCGTCTCTTAACCAGCTCCGGTTGTGTGGTGGGAGAACATGACGCCGCGCCAACAGTGGTACTAGTACAGCAGACCCTTAGGCGGGAGAGGTGGCGACGCTAACAGTAGCGGGAAAGGTGACGACGCTGACAGTAGCGAGGGAGGTGGCGACGCTGACAGTAGCGAGGGAGGTGGCGACGCTGACAGTAGCGGGGAAGGTGACGACGCTGATAGTAGCGGGGAAGGTGGCGACGCTGACAGTAGCGGGGAAGGTGGTGACGCTAACAGTAGCGGGGAAGGTGGCGACGCTAACAGTAGCGGGGAAGGTGACGACGCTAACAGTAGCGGGGGAGGTGACGACGCTAACAGTAGCGGGGGAGGCGACGACGCTGACAGTAGCGGGGGAGGCGACGACGCTAACAGTAGCGGGGGAGGCGACGACGCTAACAGTAGCGGGGGAGGCGACGACGCTAACAGTAGCGGGGGAGGCGACGACGCTAACAGTAGCGGGGGAGGCGACGACGCTAACAGTAGCGGGGGAGGCGACGACGCTAACAGTAGCGGGGGAGGTGACGACGCTAACAGTAGCGGGGGAGGTGACGACGCTAACAGTAGCGGGGGAGGTGACGACGCTAACAGTAGCGGGGGAGGTGACGACGCTAACAGTAGCGGGGGAGGTGACGACGCTAACAGTAGCGGGGGAGGTGACGACGCTAACAGTAGCGGGGGAGGTGACGACGCTAACAGTAGCGGGGGAGGTGACGACGCTAACAGTAGCGGGGGAGGTGACGACGCTAACAGTAGCGGGGGAGGTGACGACGCTAACAGTAGCGGGGGAGGTGACGACGCTAACAGTAGCGGGGGAGGTGACGACGCTAACAGTAGCGGGGGAGGTGACGACGCTAACAGTAGCGGGGGAGGCGACGACGCTGACAGTAGCGGGGGAGGCGACGACGCTAACAGTAGCGGGGGAGGTGGCGACGCTAACAGTAGCGGGGAAGGCGACGACGCTAACAGTAGCGGGGAAGGCGACGACGCTAACAGTAGCGGGGAAGGCGACGACGCTAACAGTAGCGGGGGAGGTGACGACGCTAACAATAGCGAGAGCAGCGAGGCAAATAGTTGTATTAGTGGCAACAACACTAACGGTAGCAGTTTGTTTACAAATGTATTAAACACTTCAGGAGCTCCGAAGCACCACAAAGGTTCTTTATGACAATAGTAACTTGGAGCTCTAAGGGTTCGAATCTCATAAACTTTAATAAACATAAATGAAACCTTCGTAATTAAGTAAAGATAAACAGGTTTCGTAGTTGAATAAACACTTCACGAATCCTGTCACACCTCTAAGGTAACACTTCCTGCCTCTCGCGTTTCCTTTAAGGCAGATTATCACACTCAGAACTCTTTAAAAAAACACTTCAAAGTAAGTGTCTCACTCGACCCAGTCATGTCTTGTACTTAAGCAATCAACATTCTTAGGTCCAGCCGTCTAATTTTCACACAATTTGTCTTCCTCTTGCGTCACTCAGGGAACCCGAGTCCTCGTAAACACCAGTGTTTACGCCTCGAGGAAGCAACACACTTGGTTTCATAACCAAGTGTGTTGTTACGCGGTCTTCACTACCACAACACCGTGGGACTTGATGGCATCGCGTCACATGGCTCTGCGTCACAGGAGCCTTAAGTGGGGGTCACAAGCTGCGTCACAGGAGCCTTAAGTGGGGCCACAAGCTGCGTCACAGGAGCCTCAAAGGGCAACAAGCTGCGCCACAGGAGCCTTAAGTAGGGTCACAAGCTGCGTCACAAGAGCCTCAAGGGGCGTCACAAGCTGCGTCACAGGCGCCTCAAAGAGCCACAAGCTGCGTCACAAGAGCCTCAAGGGGCCACAAGCTGCGTGTTTGGGACATCCCGACGCGACAACATTCTGGATCGGGGAATCGAGCAAGTTCACGGACACAGTTGTCCTAAAAAAAAAAAACGTAACAAAGCCCCCTTTATCTTCATAACACTACAGGTAGACTCGTAGTAAGAGGACCCACTGTAAGTGGACCCACACTGTAAGTGGACCCCCACACTGTAAGTGGACCCCCACACTGTAAGCGGACTAACATGTCGACCAATCACGACGTCGCGCGCCACAAGGCGGGAAAGTCCCTTCAAAACGCCCTCCCACCAGCGTCGCGTACCGGACGCTTGCATGCGCCGCTCCCAGGCTGAAAGGAACGTTTGCCTCATACGCCCACACAGGCCGGGCGTACACGCCACCGTGGTGCAATAGTGGAAGCACGAACATGAGCGTACGAATACGAACGTTCGAGCATAAGCGTACGAACATACGGGCGTACGACCCCCACACCCCTCTTATACTAAATCACGAAACTTATTAAGGCAAAAATGCCAAACGGGTCTGAACTACGGGCTCACCATAGCCCATGCTACTTGGAACTTTTTTCTTCCCAGTAGCTGAGTCTATAACGACAACAACAAAGGGTCTGAATGGCATTCAGACGTTTATGATAACGGTGGTGCGAGGACGGCTACGAACGTTTCGGACCCGGACGTTTGTACAGGCGCCAAACGTTATATAGGGATTTATACGTTTATGCTGCGCTCGAACGTTTTAGATCTGGAAGTTTAAACGCCAAACGTTTTGAAACCCAAATGTTTTCGATGTGAACTATTCCGTCGGGAGTTTTGTGGAGGTGGAGGTGGTTCCCGTGAGTGAGGGGGGGGACGCATGACCCCCCTGGTGGAGCAGGTGGTTCCCCTGGGTATGACGCGAGTCTGGCGGAACTCTGGTTATCGCCGATATCATGCGGCTTGTTTTGATATCATATGTGTGTGTGTGTGTGTGTGTGTGTGTGTGTGTGTGTGTGTGTGTGTGTGTGTGTGTGTGTGTGTTAATGCTATTTAGGGACATTACGTAAGTGACATTTTGAGGAACGGGTGATATCAGCAAGTGGGGTGACATACGCGAGCCGTTATAGCCGCAGACACGCTACGCAACGTGACGCATCGTATACGTCGCTATACCAACCATATATGCTGTTGTGTGTGTGTGTGTACTCACATTTGTGCCTGCAGGATTCAGTCCTGGCTCTTGAACTCCGCTTTTCTAGTCCTTGTGTGTGTGTGTGTGTGTGTGTGTGTGTGTGTATTCACCTAGTTGTTTTCACCTAGTTGTGCTTGCGGGGGTTATGGTTTGTCTCTTTGGTCCCGCCTCTCAACTACCAATCAACTGGTGTGTGTGTGTGTGTGTGTGTGTGTGTGTGTGTGTTTGTGTTTTCTCTTTCTCACCTGTCTTAAAAATGATGATATCTTCAGACCTATTCACTCCTGGGCTGATATTCTGATTAAATTGCCCACTGCTTGTAATTTAAGATTCACATTATATTATTTTCTGGGAAAGATTTACATACAGAAATTTTTTTCTGAAAAGTAATTCAATCAATTGTATGAAGGGAAGTTTTTAAATGAATAAACAATATATTAAAATCTTGAATTGACCATGTGTGTTATATTCGTGTTATTTTATCCTATTATGAAGATATTGATCATTTGCCCTAACACGAAATTTATATCAAAATTTTGGGGGATTTTGTAACTACTATTTTTTAGGGAATTTAAGACTCCTTAATTCTCATTAAGATATCAATGCATAAATAACAGCTGAATATCAACAATAAACAGTGTCTGCAACAGGTAAACAATAATCAAGACTCAATTCTCCTGCCTGTTTGCAGCCATCCACTGCGAACCAGAGAACAGGGAAGAGGCTCCCCGCGAAACACACACTGAAACTACGACGTTGGTACAACGTTCGAACAAGTTTTAACACCTCCTAACCAAGTTATAACAACCAATATATCATGTTGTAACAACGTTCTAATACGTTGTAAACACGTTAAGCCAAGATGTAACAACTTTATTACAAGTTGTAACAAGCGGAAAATGGAGACAGTTTCGGTTTGTGTTTCCAGGGTCTACAGCTTTTCCATACCGGGGCCCACAAGGCGGCCCTCTGGAACTGACAGCACTCACTCACTCACTCACTCACTCACTCACTCACTCACCACACAACACAAACAAGTCGAAGGACACACCTACAGAGA